CGCAACTTTTTTTTTAAATAATATGAAAACAAAAAATATTTATAAATTTATTAAAGTGCAGGGTAAAGAGACACCACTAGGATTCTTAAAATGGAATCGTCTATTAAAAATTGGTAACTTAAATAAAAAAAACAGAAAGCATTTTATAAATCACTCATTTTTTTCTGAAAGATAATACACTAAAAATATTTAAATAGAAACTTTTGCACTATATCTTACCTTGTAAAGTCTTATTGAAGCAATGGAAAATAAGTACAAGCTCAAACTGCCATGAATGTAATATTACAGAAGATTACGAACACATGTTTCTAAGATGTAAAACATTAAAAGTATTTTGGGAAAAAATGAAAGATATTTTAGGAAAAATTAAAATAGGAATTCATATTCTAAGCTTATCAAATTTAGCATGGGGATATAAAATTGAACAGGAAGAATACTATGAAGTAAACTATTTATTAACAATAATCACATACACAATTTATAAGGCATACTACATTTCTGAACAAAGATCAAAACCTGTCAATACTTTTTGCATTTTCAAATCAAAATTTCAAGAAATTTTCGAAATGGAGTGTAAACGGCGGGATAAACTTAATATTCTTTGCAGTGTTGCAAAAATTTAAGTGTTTTGTAACTAGATTTAAGTTACATTTATGTTTTTTTTATGTTATAGATTTATGTGATATTATTATCACTTTGACATTTATAGAATAGAACCATTTTATTATATGGTATAGGTGTATAAACTGACATTTGTGTTTAGATATATATATCATGTATATATATGTAAACTTATGCATGGGAGAGTGTATGCGTAAATTGTTTTGTACAAAATAAATAGCAATTAACATGTAATGTATAAAAAGAGTTTTCTCCGTTTACGCAATAAAAATCACTGATTTCGTGCATAATGATCATGGGTCACGATGTTTGTAATATTATCCAAATGAAATTAGCAAAGGACACAAAGCGGTTTTCTAAATTAGAAATATATCTTCTTATTTTCAATTTTGAAGAAATCAAACATGTTGAAATTTCTACTTTCGTTTCATTGAACGTAATTTAGAATAATATCAAAGATTTGAATATATTTCAAATAGATATATATACACATAGAAGAACAGCATACATTAAGTTATCTTAATCATAGTAGCACACTAACTATATTTGAAACTTACCTTGATAGAATATGATAGACAAAATTTTAAATACAACGGAAAGTCACACGTGTTGTAGCGTTTATAAATAAATCACTGTAAATAACAAACCGTTAACGGAGAAAACAGATATCCGCAAAATGAATGTAAAATGCAAATGTAAATTATTCTAACAATGAAGAATATTTAATTTCGTCAAGTCAATCCCCTAGTTCATTTGACGATTAACACACAGGAATAAACTTATATATAATGGTTGTATTATATAGGGCAGTTGTTAACAACTAGATACTTGTGCAATAAAGAATTTGTTAATGTTAAAAAAAAAAAAAGTTTACACGGATCACACAGTGATTTCCGCGCTTTTAGTACAATATTACCTTAAAATTTAGGATGTGAAATACCGTTTTTAATAAGTTTTCTACAGGTACAGTCAAATTTACTAATCAAATCTTTGTATCTATGAAAGAATTTAGTAAAAGTTTTAAGTAATTTATGGTAGCGAAATCCCTGACTTAATAATTTACCAGTGATGCATTGATTACGTTCGTTAAAATCTATGACATCACTACACACACGGGCATAACGAACGAGTTGGGATATATAAACACCGTATGATGGAGCCAAAGGAACATCGCCGTCTAAAACAGGAAAATTGAAATAGGGAATGAAAAATCGTCTCTTTTGTCGTAAATTTTAGTATGGAGTTTCCCTTTAGAAATTGAAATGTCTAAATCTAGAAAAGGACAACTACTGCTGTTTATGTTAGATTTAGTTAAAGAAAGTTCCTTTGGGTAAATTTCGGTAGATACTTGAACTCTGGATTATTTAACGAAAAAATATCATCAGGATAAATGTAGGTATTGTTGAATGTATCAACCAAATGTAACAATGACGTGTGTTTGCTGAGTTTGGTCATAAACTGAGATTCATAGCAATACAGGAATAAATCTGCTATTAAAAGGGCGCAGTAAGTGCCCATAGGAATACCTACTATTGTCGATACACTTTATCGCCGAAACGTACATATATGTTGTCCAGGAGAAAAATTGAAAGCTTCAATCATATCTTCACATTTCCAGTAAGTGTATCTAGCATACTTTCCTTTTTCGTTAAAGAAAAGGGCTTTAAAAGAGTTACAGCAAATAAATTTGCAATGAGATTTTTGAAAAGACCATTTAATTAAATATGAAAACTTTTTCTTGATAAGATTGTGTGGAAATGTAATGTAGAGAGTAGAAAAATCATAACTGTCAACGGAATTAAAAGGACCATCAAGAGCATGTATTTTATCTTAAACTTCTAAAGAATTTTTAACACGCCAAAAATAATTAATACCATTATTTTCATAAGCTTTATTACAAAAGTTAATAACAAGTTCTTTGATAGTAGTAAGGGAGGTAGTTAGAAGCACTGATAGATTCGTAGTAGAACACTTGCTAGATGCGGAGATGAAACGGAATTTAAATGTTTTTTTGTGCAATTAAGGTAACCAATACATTAAGACTGTTTAGATGATCGAACAACATTTTCAGCTCTTCATCGAATTTTGTCCAAATGATAAAGCAGCCGTCTAGATATCTCTTCCAGGAAGTTTCAAATTGCCTGCCCAATTGTATACCGAACTTGTTCTCATCTCTTGATACCGATTCTGTTCTAAAAAAAACATCACTAGGGAAGCTTAAGTTGGAGCAAATTGTGCACCCGTAGCAGTTCCTTTCGTTTGTGTACAGTTTATTCAATCAAAATAAAATGTTTTGTTTTCCAAAATAAATATTTCGGAATCTAAAACGAAATTGAGGGTAAATACATATATTTGAAGAAAAAAAAACGAAAAAGCTCAACGAATTACATGTTTAAAACGGTAAGCGCTTTCACCTGTTGTTACATCGAATCTTCAAACAGTATATGAACGTTAACTATGTGGTAACGTAGCGACAACTCGGTTTTGACGTCGTGTAACATCATCATTCAATTTGTACTTTTACATGCGGGTCAGCTTCGGCTTGTTTTCCGAATAAAGTATTCCTCTTTGGCAATTCGAAAAGCATTACTTTCATTGAATATTAAAAAAAGGGGGAAATACGGAATTTTCCCATTTAGCAACGATCAACATGTTCACTGCAAGGGTTAGTTCTGACTTATATGCAGTTTATGAACTCTAACCCTCCCAAATATAGCATCTCCAGATTGCCCTAAATAGTTTTCTTGCACGTTGGGCATGTTGTGCAATAAATCAGTCTTCTGGATTTGCAATTCATTTGATAGTTCACTGTAAATGACTCTCCAGAATAAAATGTCACAGAGAATCCTTCGTCAATATAGTCAAAATTTCAACAGCGACGATGTCCGATTCTTTGTACATCAGCATTTTCTCCTTCAGGTGAAAATCGGAATTTTGTAAGCAGCCTTTTCAAATTTGGCAGTTGTCTACGACTCTTTAATAGTGTTGATTCAGGGATCAGTTCCTTGAGTCGTGTACATCGATGCAAAATTGGGAGATATTAAATAGTTGTGTTTAAAATATTGTGGTTCCGGGGAATATGTGTAATAACAAATGGTATGTCATTTCCATTTTGATTTATTTCTTTCGGACGTCTCAACTCTACGATTGGAATGTTATCTGCTTTGATCATTGCTAAATTAATAAGCTTTTCCGAGTAATCGTTTTATGGATTTAATGCATCAATTATGTTAGTTCTGCCTTGGTTACTATAGTGCATACGCGTCTGGTCAGATTGAAAGAAATATTTCTTTTATATGTGATGGATGACATGATCGGAACTTCAAATATTGATAGGCGTCTGTATCTTTACAGTAAAGGTCTGTATTATTAGTTACATAGTGTGTTGGTGACCTAATACGATATATACGGGGTCAGTAAATTCCATATGGGCTGAGAGCGACCTAATACGATATATACGGGGTCAGTTAATTCCATATGGGGTGAGAACGAAGCTCGAACCTCATATGGAATTTACTGACCCCGTATATATCGTATTAGGTCACTAGCACACTATGTAACGAATTTATCTTACCGACTATCTTTATTTGTTGAATTTAGACTAGAGTTGTCTCATTTGCAATCACACCACATCTTCTTATGTTTATATTAAAGTGTTCAAGTGTTCAATTTTAAGAACCTACTTCCAAAAAAAATTAATGTCAACAATAACAATTTAATATCAACAACCTTGATATAACAATATTAAACATCACTTTCAATACATTCAAATAAGCAAATAGTGCCAAAGTCATAACTCCACTACTAACCGTGTATTGAAATAAGCTCCGCCTCTCTACTAACCTAATATGGAATATACACGGTCTCCACGCGGACGCTTTTAACCAATCATATTCCTAGAAATGTATAGGAGGTAAGATAAAATATTTAACCCTTCTTTCATTATTATGATATCAATAAAGGGAAGTTGTGACACGTTTAGCCAAAATTTCCTTTGTTCTTAGTGTGCTACAATTTCCAATACAAGAACACTTGTGAAGAGGTGGAGTTATATAACTGTCAATAACTGTCTGTCAGTTACAAAACAGTTACAAATGATCTAGTTTTATGGCTCCAACCCTTCAGTTATTACATACGTTCGATATATATATCACAAGACAAATATTTGTTCAAGACAAGAATTTCCGGATCACCATAACATACGAAAACTTAACCATTTGAAACACTCGTCAAGAGCCCAGCGATAAGTCAAAATGTTTTACTACAAATAAAATGGCACAAGAGAAGACTTCCCTGATAGCTTATTCATGAATCCGTGTTAAACCTCGATTAAAATGACTTCATAAAAAGAAAATAATGATTATTTTATAGAATTTATTTTAATTTGGTTCTTTTCCATGTTTAAGCATGAAAGTAAACATTGCATCCGTGAAAAATTTGACACTGTTAAAATTTTCACACCATTTGTCCGAAATATCCTCTTCTATTCCGTCAGTACGAAGTTTCTTTTGTGGAGCTAAAGACGACTCGGCAGAATCTTCAATGCTTGAACTACTGCATGGAGGGTCTACAATTCTCGACACGGTCGCTGAAATTTCGGCAGATGTTCTCTTGTATTTCCTTACCCCTGCTTGAGATCTGTGGCCTGTCCTGGCCATAATCTCCTGCTCATCGACTCCTGCATTGTACAGCTGTGTTGCACACGTGCGTTTGCAGCTATGATTTGTGAAGTAACCGGACAATCCTGCCTTGGTACAAATCACCGTCATAAATGACTTCAACTTATTCATGCCAAGCGGCTGATTTCCGTATCGTATTGGTGTTCCGGGGATACCTTTGAGTGGTCTCCTATAAAAATTTCCGTCGTTTGCTAATGCGTCAAGGTGGACTTTAAAGAAATCAGCAATACAACGTTCACCTATAAAGGAAAAACTCGATGGATTTTAGGAAAGCGAAAAACCTGCTTTAATAAAGACAAAATAAAATAATGAGATTTAATAAGAAACAAGGAGGATTTTCAGAGTTTGTTTCGCACTTTAACAGTATTTCAAATGTTTCGTTTAAGTCAGTTGACTGGCGAACGAAAATGAAATACCCAGACAAGATAATAATAAGCAAGCATAGTTTCAGATAGATCCGATTTAAAATGTAGGAGTTGCGCTCACAGCAATTTTGTCACAAAGGATCAACAGTTTTGAGTAATAAAGGTTATTAACTCCTTAAAAATAGTCTGGTCAACTGCCGAAACGGTATGCGCATCTTTATACATGTATAATAATACACAAGCATGAAAAGTTTCAAGGATATTTGATTTAAAATGCAAGAAGAGTTTTGCCAGAACAATTTTGTGACAAATGATGAAAAAATATGTCATCAACGATATGCACATTTCCACCTGGTAATAACAACATGTAAAGGTTTTCGAAAGAGACCCGATGGGGTAGCGCTATAGACAGACAAACGGACGGACAGACGGACAAGACAAGACTTGTAAAAGAAAAAACAAGTGAATTATAAAAGTTATTCAAATGTTTTGGCGGCATACTTAACAAAAACCTTCGTTTTAAAACTGAGTATATTTTTACAAAAAATTATAAAGTTGAGAAAATGATAGTTGAGAAAATGATGAAAAAAAAAAATTATGCTACAATTTCACTTCATATTGACAGGATTATTTGTACAATTCCAATGTATGTGTGTTTCTTGTTTCTTTTTTTCTTTTTTTTTGTTAGTCGACTTATTTTATGCACAGCGTTGTGATAAAATTTTAATGATATAAAATTCTGTCAAACTATTGATGAAATAACATAATATTACCTGGTTTGCAGTAGTGTTCAATATTCTTATTGGTGATATTCATGTGACCAAGTCCCACATTAAAGGTTTTTGATTGTCTTCCAATAAACTGCACAAATGGTGTACCATTTTCATCCCCAACAACAAATTGGCTGCATTGTAGGTCATGGTGTTCATCGCATGCACGCAGTCCAAATAGTTTGGCGGAATAAAAAAACATGGTTCGTTGAAGCATTTCTGCCGACTCCTTCCCGAACACCTTTTCTCTCCACATCGATTTTTCCTGTTCTTGGGTTATTGGTTCTGCTTGTTTAATCTCGCATCCGATTCCCTTTTCTATCAGCATCTTCATACGAGCATCCAGAACCTTTCGAAATTTACAGAAGTTAAGATTCTGCTCATCTAAGAAATTTTTATCGTTCACGTCAGCATCTCTAAGATATCGGAGCAATCCACATGTAATGAGATATAGAGACTTTGGTAGGTACTCCACTCCGTCCTTTTTACGTGCCTCGACGATAAAACGTTGCAGCCAGAAATCCATGTCCTCTGAATTAATATTTAGAAGCTCTGACACCACCCCTTCTCTACTTAAACGCCTTTTCTCAAAAACGTTGAACGCCCATTTTGTGTTATTTTTAGTGTTCTGATTCTCAGTTTGTTTTATCATTAAAGAAAAGTCTTCTTCTGAAACGGGCGCCCCGAATCTTTTATTTTGACCAAGCTCACTATCCACAACGAATTCCCCATAGCTATCGGTTTCCAAATCATTACTGCTATCTGAAAAATAATTGAAGTAAAATATATCTATTTTGCTTACATTTAGATTTTTGTTTAAATATTTCAAAGACTCTTCAAATCACTTTACACTAGATTGGTCCAAGTCGTTTTTCTCGACTATTATACCACAAGTCAGCGTACAATGTAAATGTGTGCATGTGCCTTCTGACAACGCGGATTCAAGAATTTACAAAAATAAGCAAGAAATCGGTTTAGACAACCTTTGTCCTTTTAAAACAATAACATGTTTTAATGGCCAAACGATATGAATTTTCTCGCGGTTCTTTAAGGTTTATCTTGACCCATTGTAGGGTGTGCTTGATTGGTTTATATATTACAACTTTAATTAAATGAAATATCAAACGATTCGTTTTATATAATTTTTTTAAAGAGTTTCAGTCGACCTCAGTGGAAACCCATTCTAAAAAAATGAATCTTAACCTCTCGTAACTATTCAGACAATTTAAATTAAAAATTGTGAAGTTGATGATAATAGCTGTGTACGGAAGCCTTTTAGGGCCATGTTAATTTACTTTTTACAATTTGATATAACAAATTATCAATTTGATATAACAGATTATTAATTTGATATAACCGATTTTCAATTTTGATATAACAAATTATTAATTTGCTATAACAAATCATTAATTTGATATAACAAATTATTAATTTGATATAGCAAATTATAAATTTGATATAACAAATTATCAATTTGATATAACGAATCGTGAATTTCTCTACCAATAGTATAATTTTATCATAATAATAATAAATTAAAAGATTGCATTACCCAAACTGGCGCATTTCGTGTATTAATTGATTGTTCATCTGACGTGCAGTGACAAATATCTAATGCATATTCAAAACTCAATTTACAGGTTTATTGTTTCTATAACTCGCCCTCCTGCCCTTTTCCCTTTATTTGAGACATTTTTCGGGACTAGTTTCATAATTTCGTATATGGGACCTTGTGTCTTAGAACGAACAAGTATAAGAGAGAAAAGGGGGACTTTTTTATCAATTTATATTGCATATTTTCAAGTCAAAGGGAAACGAAGAGTTCTATTGAGATATTGGTATTTCTAGGAACATAGGAACATGCAAAGATAAAAAATGATTCCCGTCTTGAAAAAGCCTGGGGCCATGTCAATGAAAGTATCCTAGGATATGTCCTAATAGATATCTCTTAGGACATTATTTAAGATGGTCTTAGGACGTGTCTGAGACTTGTCTTAGGATGTAAAACAAAGCTGTCTTAGGACAGTCCTAACTACGATGGTCCTAGGACAATCCTAACACATTTATTTAATTGAAAAAATATGTAGAGATTTCTATGACATAGATTTAATGGTATTTTAGTATCTATATGTAAAGAGAGGGAGGATGACTCTTATATGGAAAACAATTAACGCAAAATAAAAGTTAAAGTTTTAACGTAATACTGATAAATACGTTATTAATTATGATAAAAGATATAAATGAATTTAGTACGAAAACAAAAGTAAATAGTCACACAACTTTGTTGAATGCGATATTCGTGCTGCAATTTAAGTACATAAACTAGTTTGTCCTTAGGTCCACCCGATTTCATTACATGTATCGAATCAGGATCAGTTAAAAAAGAAGTCAACTTTTTCCCATATTCAAATTTTTTTTTGGTTAGTCGCAAAAAAATGTTGCTTATTATGATAGTATTTTTAGCTTCAAAAAAGGCAGCACGAAATATTTTAATGTAATACCAATGAATATTTAACAAAAATTGAAAATATTTTGTTTTATTAATTCAATTCAATTAACAGTATGATAGTTTAATATTGTATTAGTATTTTTAGTATTGAGTTTATGCCACATTTGTTGTTTTTATTACGTTTTAGGACATTGTGAACTTTAGGACTAACCTAAGACACCTATTTGTATATCCTAACTTTAGGACCACATTTAGGACATACCTTATTTTAGGAGACTTTCGTTAACCTGACCGAGGACTAAGACGTGTCCTAAGACCATCCTAAGACATGTCCTAGTCCTAGGACAGCTTCGTTGACACGGCCCCTGGCATGTTGCTTTATTAATTTCAATAGGAACACGAAAGGATTTATTAAACATCCTTCAATTCATCATTGCATTTGTCTGAAATGAATTTGTTTCAATATATATTTTTGGTTTGGAAATTTTTGATTGAAAATAAAGAAACATGCGTGAGATTTTGAATGATTGTTGACTTTCTATTTCTGTTAAACAGACCACACGTGTTTGATCTGAGCAGCTTAATAACGTTGTACATATAGGTCAAGGATTTCAAATCATGAGCAATGCTTAGGTCTATATCTCTAAACAGTTTTAGCGTTTAACTTATATATCCTTTATGTCAAATAGAGAAGGGGGAAAACCCCACTCCAAGCATAAGTAATTTGACATATCAAATTTCCTTTTTTGTTTTATCAAATTAATAAATTGTTATATCAAATAATTATAATCCGTTATATAAAATTGATAATCTGTTATATCAAATAAATAATTTGTTATATCAAATTATTAATTTGTTATATCAAATTAATAATTTGTTATATCAAATTAATAATCTGTTATATCAAATTAATAATTTGTTATATCAAATTAATAATTTGTTATATCAAATTGTAAAAAGTAAATTAGCATGGCCCTAAAATACGGAAGCCTTTTAGGGCCATGCTAATTTACTTTTTACAATTTGATATATATAGATTATAACATGGCATTTTTGATATCAGACCCCTTATCAGCCCTAGGTCATGATATCAGCCCGAGAGCCGACAGGCTCGAAGGATGATTTTGACCATGGGCTGATAAGGGGTCTGATATGAAAAATGACATGTTATGTTCTTTTTATCATATACTTCAGCAAAAGCCATACAGACATGAAAACTTTTTTAAAACTTTATTAAAATCTTTTTTTTTGTATTATTTGTTTTGCGTTTTTAAATAATTTATTTTCCTGTTTCAAAATATTCCTTCTGTTATTCTACTTAGCTATGTTTTTCACTTAAATGTACCACTGATGTTTATTTTCCGGAATATGCAGAATGACGTCGAAATGCTTTGCGATTACGTTAAAAAAAAGGCATGCGATAATAACCGGAAGCAGTTGATATAAACCGGAAACAGTTGATATATACCGGAAGCAGTTGATAACAAAAGTCATATCACACGGCTAAGACAATTCTTCAAATTTATTGAATAAATATATGTATAAATTAGTTTTATCAAGGGGTACAATTATACCATTATTTTCTACAAGTATATGATAAAACAAATTATTAATTTGATATAACAGATTACTAATGCTGCGTTCACACGTAATTCGAATTCGATGCGCATTAACTAATTCGAATTAGTTTAATTCGCGTTCGAAACGTTTAACGTCCAAACGTAAATTCTAATTCGAATTGCAATGCGCGTTAAATTCGCTTTACTGTCCTAACGACGTTAACTTTTAATTCGTATTAACAAAAACGCATTTCTAATGCGAATTGGATAATGCGATTTAGCCAATTCGAATCAATTCGAATTAAAAAAAGAAGAGTGTGTGAACGCGATTAGCGAATTCGATTCGCATTCGATTCGAATTCAATTCGAATTAAATGTACGTGTGAACGAGGCATAATTTGATATAACAAATTATTAATTTGATATAACAAATTATTAATTTGATATAACAGATTATTAATTTGATATAACAAATTAATAATTTGATTTAACAAATTAATAATTTGATATAACAAATAATTTATATGATTTATTGAATCATTTATTTGATTTTACGATATTTCTCTGCCAATAAATAGTCTTCTCAGGTGCGTTTTAGCGATAGACTCGTAAAAGCAAGTTGATTACTTATTGTATTGAAAGAAATGGAACAAAGGAATAATCTGATTGAAATGTACTATACTCTACGCCTTACTTTCGACGAAATCAAGTATATTTTGGCAAAAAAACATAAGGTTATTATTTCCACAAGACAATTGAAACGAATTGTTGCATCACTAGGATTATACCGACGAAGATCTTGAAGTAACTTGTTTGATGTTGCTACAATTATATCTAAAGAGTTAAAGGTATCTGGACAACTGCATGGGTACCGATGGATGCACACTAAATGTTAAGAGAGATGCCTTGAAATAGACAAAGAATCTGTCCGACTCATAATCAAATGCCTTGACCCAATTGGTGTGAAATGTCGAAATGCAAGAAAATTGACTAGACGAACATATATGAATAACGGTCCTAACTACATATGGCACATGGACGGAAAAGCTAAAACCCTATGGAATATGCATTCATGGATGCATTGATGGATTTTCACGCAACATCATGTGGTTAGAAGCTGACACAACGAACAAAGACCCTTATTTAATTGCAGGGTATTTTATTGATACCGTACGTGAGGTAGGTGGTTGTCCTCGATGTATCAGGGCAGACCTTGGAACTGAAAATGGAATTGTTCGGGAAATGCAGGTTGCTTTACGAGACTGTGATGGCCATGAAACAAACGCATTTCTTTATGGTGCAAGCAAATGTAATCAACGGATTGAAAGCTGGTGGAATATTTTACGAAAAGAAAGTGCTCAGTTTTGGATGGATATGTTTCAAACTATTAAAGACGATGGTCATTTCAGTGGGGACTTTCTTGATGTGAACCTA